GATAACTGGCTTTTAAATTTTTTACTTTTTACCTTGTTTTCAGTTCTGGGGATTGAACCCAGGGGCTCTCTACCACTGTGCTACATCTCTAACCCTTTTTACTTTATTTTGAGACAGAGTCTTGCTAAGTTGCCTAGGCTGTCCTTGAACTTGCCTGCCTCCCAAATCCTGGATTACAGGTGTGAGCCACCATACCTGGCCTTACTTTTTTATATTTTGCCTCAGCCTTGGAGTGACTAGGATTACAGATATGTGCCACCACACCCAGCTTCTGGATAAATTAGTTTTGATTTGGCTTATTTTTCTGCTTTAGGGTCCCATCCAGGATACCACTGTACATTTAGTTGTCATGGGTCCTTAGCCTCCTCTGTGTGGTGATAGTTTCTCAGACTTTCCTTATTTTTTATGATGTTGACATTTTATGGAGTACTGGCCAGTTTGAATTTGTCTAATGTGTAGAGGGAGAAGATGGAAGAGATGAAGTGACACTCATCACATCATACCAACATGACTTAGCACTGATAATGTTAACTTTCTTCACATGGTTCAGGTAATGTCAGACAGTTTTCTCCATTGTAAAGTTGCCGCCCACCTCCTAGTCCCCATCTCCATACTGTACTCTTTGCAAATGATTCACTATGCTCAGCTAACACCGAGTAGTCAGGTAGGAGGGATAATGGCATTGCTTTTTATTCATGCATTTTACAAACACTTTTGAGCCCTTACTATGTGCCTAACACTGAGCTGTGTCCTGGAGACAAGATAATGATCTCATCCTTGTCCCTGAGTTTATGAATCTTCCTTTTAGAAGAAATACCCCCTAAAATAAACAAAGACAATTTAACATTTCTTAATTGTTATAGAGAGAACAAACTAGGACGAGGTAGGTGAGATGTAAGGGCTGGGCAACAAGGTAGAACCAACCTTACATATATGGTGGCTAGTAAAGACATTTTTTAATTTGAGCTGCCCTTGAATAACAAAAGCAATTATCCATGCACAGAGTAGGCAGAGGGAACAACAACTGTGCAGAGACCCCGAAGGGGGAAAGAGTGTAGCATGTTTAAGGAACAGACAGGAACAATGTGGCCGGAGCAAAGGAAATCTCATAAATAGAGATGTGATGGTAATTTGCAAAGCAAGGCCAGCAACACAGCACGTGGGGCCTTCACTGACCCTGCTATGGTTTGCATATGTTTCCCCAAAGGTTAATATGTTAGAAGCTTGGTCCTCAGAGTGGTGACATTGAGAGGTGGTGGGAACTTGAAGAGGCTGGGCTCCTTGGGAGGTCCTTGGGTCAGTGAATGTATACCCTTGGAAGGGATTGAGTTCTTTCTTGTGGACCCTGTTTAATTGTTGCAAGGAGATTGCTATAAAGATCTGGCCTGACCCATCCTCTGTGGCTTCCTGATTTGAGATGTGATTTCTTGCTCCCACATACTTCCACCATTTACAACTACCTTGAGGTGATATAGTTATGGTGGGGGCCCTCACCAGAACCTGTCCCTGTTTGGAGTTTCCACTTCCCAACCTGTGACCTAACTTATCCTCTTTCCTTTATGAAGTTAGCCTGCCCCAGATATATTACAAGATTGTTGTGAATTCATTGAAGGCTATTCAACTAAAATTTTAAAACAAAAAATATCAGAATGGTTTGTCAGTTAATAATAAAAATTATTTTTTTCCAAATTTTAAATTGTCATATATTTTAGTTTTTTTAAAAATTGTGATTTCCTTTGATTGATTTTCTCATTCTAAATTTGCTTTGACATCCAATTTTTATTCGTAATTTTGCTTTGTTTTTCATTACAAAAATTCCCAAATTATATGACATTCAGGCCCCAAAGAGTATCTGTTTCTGCCTGTACTCACAAAGAATTATCAGTTTTTAACTGCTTATTCAGTTATCTGGTATCTATCTTTTAACTGCTTATTCAGTTATAACTGATAACCGAATAAGCAGTTTTTCTTAGAATCTCATTTTGAATTGCAATGAAAAAAATCATTCATATACTTATGATATATGTTAAATTTGAAAATTTTGAGTTCAAAAGAATTGAAAGATGTTGCATGTATGGGGATTTTATTTGTTACTGTTAACTAATCCTAAAAAAGGAGTTTGAATATACTGAAATCTATGATATTTTAACTATAAGATTTTGTTATTAGTTCTTATTCTTGAAAAAATTTGAATAGTGAATGATAATTACATAGATATTCAAATTTCCAAAAAGAAGTCACAAATTAGACTTTTCCTAATACAAGATTATTTATCATAAGTATTGTACTTAAGTGGATGAATTTATTCCCAGTAAGCCACTCAGTGAAGTCAGAAAGGAAGCACAGGGCTAATGGATGGTAGTAAAGGGAGGAGAAGGAAAGCAGGCAGTGGTCCCATCATATTAAATTGAAAGACTTTTATTGCCATTTGGTAATTAGGCATTTTCAGTAATAAAGATTCTGCCCTATTAGTAGGCTAATATGCTTTTAAAATTCACTTTTATTTTGTTTGTATAATTTTTTGTATGTTATGTAAAATTCATTTTTGTTGTTGTTGTTTTTGCTTTTGGGGACTGGGAATAGAACCCAGGGATGCTTAACCACTGAGCCACATCCCCAGCCCTTTTTATGGTTTTCTTTTTTTTTTTTTTTTTTTTTTTTTTTTTTTTTTGGAGACAGGGTCTCCCAAAGGTGCTTAGTTGCTGAGGCTAGTTTTGAACTCATGATCCTCCTGCCTCAGTCTCCTAAGCAGCAGGGATTACAAGTGTGCACCCCCCCACACACACACACACCATTAGGTGTAATTCTTTCAGCTTTTTAAATATACTATCACACATCTTTGAAAATGATATCATAGGAAGAATCCATTAGAAATGGACGTCCAGGTCCATTAGCTAGCCAAGCAGATAGGTACCCATAGAGAAACAGTTATCATTCCATTTCTGCTAAATAGGATTGCATCATAATTGATTTTCCAATCATTCCAAGTATCCTGCTTTGGAGAGGATATAAACTAATAATAAGTAGCGGTAAAAGGAGTTCTGATGGCAGTCTAACAGTGTGGTAGTTACCATGAGAGGGTGCCTGTATACACCGTGGGGTGGCTGTGGCATCTGCTGAGGGGTCTTTACACTCAGAGTTGCAACTTGTGGTAGGAAAGATAAGGGCCAAAAGGAGGACAACAGAAAGCATACTGTGAACATAAAGGTAGTGCAGTTTTATGTAAATGTAAATAAGAAGGCAATAAAAATGTAGGGCACTATTAGAAAAGAATTCTTGGTTAAAAAAAAAAACTTTGGAAAACCACCATGCTGGAATTTTAAATAGACTTCATTAGACATCTGCAACTGTAATATTTATAGATATGTCATTGTATTTTATTATGCTAATAAAATAATTCTCTCTATACCTATGCTATCTCTCAAATCTAAAATGAAAACAAATTGTGTTAAAACCATCTCTTCAGAACAATGGTTTGAAATTAATACTCTATTACTTAAATAATTTTTATGACATGAAGTTGGACTTGTTTAATTTTAGTCATTTTGGCACTATGTATATTTAAATAAAAATTAGGTGTATAATAGGAAAGGCATTTCTGTAAAAGTATTACTTCAATTCAAAACATTTTATATACAGCTTGTATACAGTTTATATACAACTGTGATAACAACTGGAGAAGCTGTAGAGAAGTAGATCATTGGTCCTTTACTCCATGGGATTCTGAAGTAAGTTAATGATGCAAGGGTTGGCTTGCCCTAGGTTGAATATGAGTGCAGCAATTAATAAAAAAATTCATGACTTTTTTAGGAGTAGTTGCAGGAAACATAAACCCATTTAAGATAAAGCCTTTAAAAAATATGGAGAACTGCAACGATGCAGAGAGATGTAGAAAAAACATTGGGTTATCTGAACATCTAGTCCTCCAGAAGGCAGAATCCAGATCAGTTTAGTGGACTTCGCATGCAGGAATGTATGAGTATTTGTGCTAGTTCTCTGACATTAATGTGATTATCCCATCAACATATGCTAGTTTCTTGCCATCCCGCTACAAATGACTTGTTCTCCAAAATTCCAGCAAAACTGGCTATCTGCCCAACCTAAAATTGTTTATTCCTTTTGGCTTAAGTGCAGGCTGCTGTGGCCTGGGAGGCTGGTTCCTCTCATATGCTGGACTGCCTTGCTAGAGAGGAACTGTGAGCATGGCAGGTCAAGGAAGGAGAGAAGGCTGAGTGTGGTTGATGGCTAATATATTGAGTAAGGGCTTATCCAATACGCTCACAAGGAGGGCCATTTTGTCTACTGGAAGGTTCATGGAAGACTTCGTGGAGGAGATGGCAAAGCTGAGTCTGATTTAGATGTCAAGATTAAATAGATGAAGAAGGAGGGTGTTCCAGGTAGTGAAGCAAATTGAGCTAAGTCCTTTCGGTTTATGCTTGGCACTAGGTCAGTCTGGCTCAGCAATCTTCAGTGAGTTGCCCTAAACCATCCAAGCAGCTCATTTCAGTACCTGGGAGGAATCTCTCAGGTTTGTGGTCAGAGCATTTGTGTTTTTCAAAAGTTCCCCAGGTGATGCTGAGATGAAAAGGACTCAGAACCACTGGACAGCCATAGCCTGCAGGACATTAAGGGTTTATGAACTACTGCTGGGAAAGGATATTAGAACAAGACTGTGCAAACTTATGTATGTCAGCCCAGGACTTTCTCAACTGAATCCTCTAAATGAGAAGAAGCCACGGAGGCTGCTATGTTATGGGTTTCTACTGTTTTTGGTGCCAGTGTAGTTGTATCTGCTTAGAATCCTTTTGGGGCTTTAGACAGAGATGGAGAAGGAGAGTCCTGGTCTGGGTACCTGCACAGCTCTTAATGCCTTTTCACAGTATTATTTACTCATTGCTTCCCCTGTGGGGAGTAGATACTCTAAACTCAGATTTAGTTTTCTAAGCAGAATGTGTTGAAGCTTTTATATAACAATTCTTTATTCTTTATTCTTTCTTCAGGGGAGTCGGCTGCATCTTTGTTGAGATGATCCAAGGAGTTGCTGCTTTTCCAGGAATGAAAGACATTCAGGATCAACTTGAACGTATATTTCTGGTAAATTCTTTACAGAATGCTTCTGAGAAAAAAACTAGTTTCTAATTAGTCACTTAGTGACAGATTCTAGAGTGATCCATGGAAAATATTTTTTAACAAATTAATCTGTTTTCACATTTAGTTCTAACATATGTTTGGATCTTTGAAAAAGCAGGAAATTAGTTAAATTGTGTTTTATAGCTATTGTAAATTAATAATTTGCAAATATAGAAAGTAAGATATAAGAGGCAATACAGAGTAACGGGTTAAAAATGGGCACTCGGAAAAATTTCAAGTGATTTATATAGAAGCCCAGCTTAACACCTGCCACCCTCCAGCTCTTGACTGTATGACTTTGGTAACTGTCTTTTATAACACAGAACATGGAAAATGGTGGATGTAGGGAGGGTAGGAACCATGGAGACTCCAAGCATACAGTACCTTGGCCAGGTCCTTGGGACTGGCATCACCAGTGATAAGTCATGGTAGCATGTAGCCTTGAGATGATGTGTTGAGATTGGTGCTTTACTTCTTGGTCTTCCTCTCTAAAACTATATCCCCAGTCAATTTATGAAAAACACATCACATGAAACCAAATTATGGAACATTCTACAAGATACCTAACCAGTACTCCTCAACGCTGTCAAATGTCATCAAAATCGAGGAAGGTCTAAGAAACTGCACCACCAAGAGGAGGCTAAGGACACTTTACAACTCTATGTAATGTGGTCCCCTGGGCAGAATCCTGAACCAAAAAAAGAACATTAGGGAAAAAAAATAATGAAATCTGAATAAAGTATGGTTTTTAATGAATGTCAATATATGCATGTGGTTCCTTAGTTGTGACAAAAGTACAATATAAGATTAGACTTTAACAAGGAGGGAAACTGATTGCAGAGCCCACATGAACTCTCTGTACTGTCTTTTTCAATTTTTTATACATTTGTTGTAAATTTTACTGTGATCTGCCAGGCCCACTATTCTAAAATTAAAAGCATATTCAGGTTTTTAAAAGTCTGCAAAAAAATAAGTGTTCTATAGCCATATTATCTGGATTTAGCACCACCTTCTGTCTGTCACTTTTTAGGTATGTAGGTATGTGACCTTGGACAAGTGACTTACTTGGCTCTCTGAGCCTTAGTTTGCTCATGGGTGAATTGAGGGGTAAATTACCTCAAAGGTTGCTTTAAGGAATCATTGACTTGCTATAGAGTGTTTTTAGAACAATGCCTGGCATAGTAAATATACCATAAGTATACGTTACTATTTTTGGTACATCGTTTTTATGCCAGGTAATTTTATTCAGTAGGCTTTTATGTTAGCAAATTGTCCTATAAACCTAATATTTAAGTATGAAATCAGAACTAGACAAATTAGGTTTTTGTTGAAAGGATTTAAACTAAATACATTATAATAGCCAACATTACCATACTTTTCACTTCTTTGGTAAAAACCCCCTATGAAATCACTGAGGCAGATTTTAGTATGGCCTATGTGAAGAGACTTATTGGATTATCTTTTATTTAAGTTATTCAAGTACTATATCAAAGTGTAGTTTTCATATCATGTGTAAGAACCACGGTAGGGCATAGTGATAGTAATGCTATGAATTGAGACTTTATCACTAATGTGTTAACCTTGATGCCAACAGTAAAATGATAAGAAAAGGAGACTACAAACTAGGAAATTAAAGCACATGATTTCTTCCTGCAGTATCCTGTATCCCAGCAAGTCCCTGCACACTAACAGCAGGTGGCCAGTGGGAGAGTCCCTAACACAGAAGCCCTCATCAAAGTGTAGCTATTGATTTTTCTTCTCCCAGAAGCTGTCTTCATCCACTTCCTTTAATTTTATTGTATCTGATATTTATGGGTACCCACCCACAAATATTGAAAAGATTTCTTATGACTAGAAGAAATGTGTTTTTATAATGAAAAATTCCCATAATATTAAAAAGTATAAAAGCTGAAAAATTGTCCTTTGTCCTACTACTCAGAGAAAACCACATTTAGTATTTTGATATATTGTTTCCATACATTAAAAAATTGTATCTTGTATACCACTTTATAACTTGCTATTTTCATCTAATACTATATAATGAACACTTTTAATTAAAAATAAATTTTGAAACCGATCATCATTTCTGATGACAGAGGAGTGTTTTTCATTGTATGGAGGAGACAGTGTATGAACAAGAGCAGCCTAATATCAATAACTTGTTACTCTAACAAAGTGCTGCCAGAAATAAACTTTGCATACCTATCCTACTAAGAATAATGATTAGAATCTAAGGTTTCTAATTCAATAAAATTTAATTTTCATAAATTTATTGACTGCTCTTATATACCTACCTCTTTATCTAAACATGTGAAAATCATTTTCCCAAGAACATCTCTTGTTTTCTTTGTCAGATTGTATTGAGACTGTCAATTTGCTCCTAAGCAAATTGAGCTTTCCCTACTAGGAAAAAATCATTAATATTTTATTTTCCATAGTACAAATGTACAGTTTTTTTGAGCATATTTTCTTTTTTCCTTTCACGCTTTTAATTTTCATTCACTTATTTTAAATAAAATTTTTACCGGTATTTTCTTAAAAATATAATAAACTTTTCCTTATATTTTGTTATTTTAAAAAATCAGTAGAGAGGGAATTTTAATAAGATATATCTTGAAGCATCCAGATTTTATGCTACAACCTATCTTCAAATGTTTAGTTTTTAAATTTATTTAAAGTTTAAGTATAATAATAACAATTCCACTGAATTATATTCTGAGAATAATTTTCTTATCTTACATTTCACTTAGCTTTTTTACTCCCTTGTGGCTATCAAACTATCAAATTGTTGGTGATTTGTTTTATGCTAAAATAATTAATTTTCCCATATTCAAAATCAGAAAACTTCGAAAGGAATCATATAGTTGACATAGTTTACTTTGTCAAAGTTTTGATTTGAAATACTTCTATAATCTAAGTGATTTCCAAAGGGTTGTACCTTGTTGAATTGCTTTTTCTATGGAGATTTCGCTATTATTTCTTAATTTTATGGCAATAGTTTTCTAATTTTATGGGTATTCAGAGACCTTTGGGCTATGACTATGCTTTTAATAAGCCATAGAAATAAATTATTATGAACTTCCCTTGGGATTATTGATCACTAAACTACTGTTTCCTCTTAGCATAGAGACCTTAAATGCACTCAAGAATCATGATTGATGGCAATACTGCTTTCATTTACTGTAGCTATTTAACATGTGAAATGCTTTTTAAAATAAAATGCCCTTTGATAATTGGAAACTAGATCAGTTATATAAAATTGCTGCTTTAGAACTAAATGATGTTACATTTCACCCCGAAGAATTAGACAAAACAATCAAAATAAGAGAAATCTTAAAAACTTCTCTTGGCACTAATTGTAATCATCTTAAGTATTTTATTTTCTCTGTGGATTTGTTTACATTTACAAATGTTAGCTGTATATTACACAAGTAAAGTTTCTCAAGACTTGAATGATCATTGGAAGAGGAAATTTTTACAATGCCTTTCCTCAGTGACCTTTTATACCTGGTCTGAAGAGGGATGACTATTAAATCATTATAGAGATTATATTCGCTTTAACAGGCTTCTGATATAACCTGCCAGAGACTCCCTTCTAAAGTGGCAGTGGTATATCTGACTTCTAGTATAGTATTGCCAAGGAGATAATTGACTCTGAAAAGTAGGATTATTGTTTGTGTTTTAATACAGGGATTAAGTTTATTCATATGCCTGTGAACTGAATATAGATAGGTGGTTAATAAGTTTGAAGCACAAAATTAATAGCTCATTACCCAACATAACTAGTGTAATTAGCTCCCACACACTGAGTCTTTATAAAAATGTGGAAGGCAACAAAGATCCGTTAATAAAAGCCTTTGGAGGAAGGGAACATTTCACATTTTTAACAAATCCAGTGAATTCATTTTCCAAACATAATAATTGTGTGCATATATACAAGTTGAGTTGGTTTTGCTACAATTCGAGATTTCATCATTAAATTATTTTCTTTGAAATTGTGATGCTCATACTGCAAGAAAGGAAGGAAGGTGATAGAATTTTGACAAATTACATTCAATGCATTTTGAGTTGCCAAGTGAATAGGCACCTATTTCTCGAAGCAGCAACTCTCCTTTTTGGTGGAAAGAATGATTTATTTTCATTTCTTCAGCATAACCCATTTTAAAATGTGGCATGATGTATTGTGTGCACCTCCATTAGTTGCAAAAAATAAGCAGCAAATGCATTCCTTCAGGTGAGTATGTATTCAGAGTGACAAAATCACACCTAATAAAAAGACTTTGTATTCTAATCACATTGTTCCAAATTAAAAGTTCTACTTGGTGGAACCACGAGAATATGTATGTGTCTCTCTCACTTCAAAACAGCTGAACAAATGGCAGAGAGTGCTTGCACAGCTGTCTCAAAACTTTGGCAGTTGCTTCTGGGCTTGTGTGGCTCATGGCCCAAAGTATAGCAGTCATGACAGAGGGGTGGCATAATTCTGTTTTTCAGAACTGTTCTTTTTTCCTCTTTGAATGTTGATAATCCTGACAGTCTCACCTTTCCCTGCTGACCAGGTCTCCTGGATCAAATTGAATTTCCCAGTTCTTAGCCTATTTTGGCATTATTTGATTGGTACACTTGTCAAAATATCCCTCTTATCAATATAGATAAATAGATATCATATATATATATATATATATATATATATATATATATATACACATACATATGTATATAATTTATTTATCTATCTATATTTGTACACACACACATATACATACACACAATTCTGGGTGTGTTTGCACATGTGTATATGTATGTGTGTGAAAAGAATCACTAGCAACTTGGAAAGCCACTACTACTGGCTTCTTGAGTCTGATCCTTCCTTATGCCTCTGTGTTTTGCACTGAACTAACTGGAGAGAAATTCTCTGCAGACCCAGTTTCTGTCCTTGCTCCCTAGTATGGGTCTGTTTCCAG